GTTATGAAAAAGGCCCACATTGCCACTCAAGTCTGGTTTGTCCTCCTCACTCTCCCCATGTCTATAAGAAAACGCAACTCACCACTTTTCACCTTTTGTATCTCTTTTTCTAAAAGTTTTTTTTTTTTTTTTTTTTGACAATCGTGGGTGTCCCGGCTAGCTTGCGTGCAGCTTGACTAATTCCACGAGGCCCTAAAGTTAACAACCGGGCAAGCCTCCAGTGGCCCTGAGGTAGGGGCGGCTCGATGTAACTCGGGGCTTTAGGCGAAAAAAAAAAGAAGGCCTTTTCATATTATAATATGTAATATATTAATTATTAAATAATAATTAATTAAAAATCATCCATTGTTTTAAAAAATATGGATAAAAATAGTCACAAGACTCACAACTCACAAATAAATATACAAATATATAAAAAAAAATATAGATGTATACAAATTTATAATAACAAAAGTTAGTAAAACAAAAAAATAATTAAAGAAAAAGAATAATATAACCTGATTTAGAAAGTCCCAATTCAATGTTGTTACAAATTCTTTAATAAAAAAAGTGCGTTCAAATTGAGATTTGAAACTATTGAATATTGAGTCGAGAAGAAAGAAAATTGTAAAGTTGTAATAAGAGAGGACTGAGAAGGGAAATGACTTGTAATTTGTTGAGTTAGCTGAGAGAGGAGAGAATGAAAGTGAAGATTAGGAATAAGAAAAAATAAATAAATAAATAAAATAAAATTTTTAAAAAAAAGAGAATATAGAAAGTTCATTCACTTCCCAATACGACGGCTAAATATTTATTATTGTGCAACTTACCAAAAATATATTTATATATATATAATGTTGGTGTAAAAAATAGTGTGTATATAAAAAAAGTGTATGACAAAGAAAAAATATATTATTTAAGAATATAAATATTTGGGCCCATATTGAGTGTGTGTAATGGTTAAGGTTTGGTTTACTAAACAACCATGAATGAGGGGGACAGAGAAATTGTGAAAAAAAATGAGATATTTTAGGAGATGAATAAAAAAAAAATGAGATATTTTAGGAGATAAATAATTTCTCTCTGAATTGATATGGAGAGAGAAAATAAAAAAAGCGTTATTTTAGGAAATAAATTCTTTAGAATTATTGTTCAATTAGGAAACAATTACAATATATTATATATACAAGGCAACTATAATATTTTCGGGCCTTTTTATTAGATGGGGGCCTTAGGCGACCGCCTAACTCGCCTAAGGGTTGAGCCGCCCCTACCCTGAGGAGAGTCGAACTTGTGACTATTGAGGAACAAACCCAAGACCTGACCAGTTAAGTTATGTGGTCGGGTTTTTTTCTAAAGGTTAATCGTTGAATAATATGGCTATATACATTTTGTGACCCACTATATTTGATAATTATATATATTGTGGACCCACTATAAATATATACAACTAAAATCTTGACATAATTAGAATTTTAGTGACATTGATCTAAAAAATCTAAAAAATTTAGACCATGATTTACATTTCTCTAAGTTCATCAAGCGTGCAATATGTACTTACTTTTTATCTATTAAATACTTGCCTCAATGTTTATCATTTAATTTTCAAAAAATGCCATAAATCTACAATATTTTATACAAAGAATGGGAAGCAATCTTTTATTAAATCAATACGAATGATGTATAGCACTAGTCACACACAATATATATACACACACGTGTATATATATACACACACTTATCCGATTGGAGAAGAAAGACAGATGGAGAAATTAAGGAGGTTGAAGGGTTGGTGACTATAATGGTTAGCGGATGTACGCTATCCATTTGGTGTTTCGAAATGCAAGGACCAAAAATTTAGGGGCGCTGCATCACAAGTCAAATCCTTTCCTTTGTTTTGTGTTTCATAGTACATTTTTTTTTTTGGTCGTATTTTCTGTAAAAAAAGATGATCGGCTCAGCTTTTTACAGACACAAATCAAGGGTGAGGGGTGGAGGATCGTTTTGAATCTTCTTGGAACAAGAGGAAGAAGATGAAACGTGTCGAACTATCGAAGCTTGAGTGAATGGTCGGCGCTTGAAAAAAACAAAAAGGGTAGCTTAAGTTATTGATATGCTGCATTTTGAGTAATGTAATAATGGATAGTGAAAAATATATATTTGGTAAAAAAATATTTTATTTTGTACTGAAACGTTTGGTGAACAGTGACAAAAAAATTAAGATACAAATATAATATTTTTACATATTTCAACACTAACAACTAGTACTATAATAATGAAAATTAAAAAATAATTTTATTTTTTTAAAAAATAAACAAAATAAATCTTAAATGATATTTTAAACTAACTATTATATTTTTAAAATTTAGCAATACTTTTTTACCAAATATGTTTTCATATTTTTGTTTCAAAAAATCTTATAATAAATAAATATTACCAAATATAATTCTAAATTTTAATTACTATTCAAATCAACCTATAATAAAATACTTATATTATTTCGAATAAAAATAAAACGTGAAAAATAAAACCCAAACCAAACAGTTATTTAAGTCTATGTTTCAGAAAAAGCCTACATTGCCACCGTGTCTTGTTTGTTTGAACTCTGCAACTCGGCAGTCCACATGGTTACTGCTCAAACATCACACAACCTTTACCTTTCTATGTCCTTCTCTAGAAGATAATTGTTGACTAATGTGTTAAACGTCACTATCTTTACCTTCGAACTTCTTTTATAGAAGGGAATTGTTGAATCATGACAATTAATTTTTAGCGGACCAATTTTTCTTTAACAATTGTTTTAATTTCTCAAAAAATCAATTTTTGAATTTCTAAAAAAAGTTTTGATTACTTCAATTTTACTTTGTAAAAGATATACCATTGTTACCTTAATGAGTGGTTAAAAGTAAATAAATTTAATTAAGTGAATTCTCAAACATGATTATCGGCAATAAGCCAGATAAATACTTTAATCATTTATATAATGAATGACGATAATAAAATATTAGTATTTGGCATTCTTGCCACCTTGCTCTCACAACATTTTGATTTGTCTTCATTCCCAAGATAATTGAGACTATTATATAATTTTATTTTATTTTTATTTATTTATTTGTTTTTGTAAGCATCATTCTTCAAAAATGTATGAAAAAAAAAGGTTTATGCATTAGAGATTTATTTATTTATTTTTATTATTTTGAAAAGATAACAATGCATTAAAGATTGTGACCCTGTCTTGATTTAAGTTTTTTTAAAACAATTTTAAATAATATTTTCAGAATATTATAAAAGGCATTTCTCTTAAAATATACTTTATTCTAATTTAATTTTCATAGGTTCATTTTTTCGAATAGCTCAAAAGATTGGGAAAATTGTATAAAAATTTATTTAGCTAAATAAATTTTTATACAATTTTCCCAATCTTTTGAGCTATTCGAAAAAATGAACCAAATATATATTTGTACAATTTTCTCAATCTTTTGACTATTCGAAAAAGTGAACCATTTAAAAGGTCAAAAGACACCATCCAAATGTTGGGGTAAAAGTGTTGAGATTTTAGTTCTTGTAATCCAGGATTATACAGCTGTAGGATTGAATTATTTACTTTTAAATTTAGGGCTAGATAATTAGTTTCCCGATTATTGCATAATTAGTTACCTATTTTAGCAAGGTATTATTCTATAAATTGTATGTAAAACTATCGTGAATAATATCGAATGGAGTTTTAATTCTCATATTCTTTCACTGAAATTCAAGATGATATCAGAGCCATCATTGAACCGTATTTTTTTATTCTCTTTGAATTTAGCTTTGAAATACACAGGCATCTCATATCCATATACACATAAATTAACCAACCCAGAAATTATTAACCCTGAAATTGACCAATCTGCCATCACAAGCCGCAGCTATCACAAGCCACAGCCGCACCGGTGCACCGTCTATCGCTATCGCCGGATCTTCTTCGCTTAAAGCCGTCGTCGGATCAACAGCCCTTAACTGTCGAACCACTATCCATAGCGTCGCCAGATCCATCTCAGCCAAACCGAACCAATCGTCGTCTCAATCATCGCCGCCGAATCCATCGTTGTCGTCGCCAAAAGAGGAGAACCTACAGCCGCTGTCTCCATTATCAGATCGTCGGCCGCTCTCCACGGCCATCGTCTCATCCAGTTTTGCCGGATCTGCCATCTCTGTTCTCATTTCAGTTTATTTATTTATTTAATTAATTATTATTATTATTTTTATTTTGTTGCTTAACAGAGACTAATTGGGCTACTTGAATATATGTTGTTTTGTTTTTTGTAAAATATATATATATCAAAAAAAAAAAAAAATGAGTGAAAAAAATATTAAATCCTCTGGGACGAAATCAGTTTATATTTTTGTTTAATCTGAAGGTGTTTTTAATGCAAGGATTAGTCTTACTGAATCCAATTATGACATTTGGTCCCAACTGATAGAGATGCATATTACTGAAAGGGAGAAACTCTCATATATTCGTGGCAAGACTAAGCCACCTGCTGAATCAGACGATGGTTATGACAAATGGTATGCCGAAAATCAGAAAGTGAAGTAGTGGCTATTAATGTCCATGACTCCAGAAATTATAAAGCGTTATTTACTCTTACCCACTGCCCACGAAATCTAGAGTGCTCTATCAAAGGCCTTTTATGATGGGAATGATGAGTTGCAAGTTTTTGCCTTGAACCAAAAGGCCTTCACCGCCAAACAAAATGGAAAATCTCTATCTGAATATTATGGAAAGCTAACTGAGGTTTTCCGATAAAAGTGGTCATGAAAGATCCGGTGACATTGAATCATATCAGAAGTCTATTAAGCGACTAAGGGTTCACATCTTTCTTGCCGGATTGGATGCTGATTTTGAATAAGTTCGTGGAGAAACTCTACGCAACGATCCAGTTCCAGACTTGCAAGGCTGCTACTCTTTGGTTCGACAAGAAGCGGTATGTCGTGCGACTCTGAATGGGGAGTCTGAAAACTCTGAAGCTTCAGTCATGATGGCTCGCAACAGATCGAAGCAAAACTGGCAAGACCGAACTAAACCCAATCAATCTAAAGTTATTAACGGTGCAGACAAGTCTACTTACAAATGCACCCATTGCAATCAGACTGGTCATACCAACAGTTGTTGTTTCGAACTTGTGGGATATCATGAATTGTGGGATCATAGCCGTTGGAAGAAGAATTCGACGAAGACCTGCGCTACAACAGTTGTTAAGACAGAGGATGATGGTGCTAAAAAGGCATTGGGGTTGGTAGTCGCTGGATATAATGGTGGTAAGATTTTAAATATTTCTACACATATTGTTAATAGTGCATGGATAATTGATTCTGGTGCTACAGATCATATGACATTTGATTCTAGACAGGTCTTACCTCTTAATTCCACCTCACAACACTTTGTTTCTACTGTTAATGGTACTTCGACCCCAGTTATTGGGGAAGGATCTTTGACACTCCCTGATAATCTGCATTTAGATTCTGTTTTAGTTGTTTAATCGTTAGCTTATAATATTTTGTCAGTTCCCAAATAACCACAGCTTTATCTTATGTTATAATTTTTTGGCTTGATTTTTGTATGTTTAAGGATATCCAAACAAAGCAGACGATTGGTTGTGGTTTAAGGCGAGGGAAGCTGTATTACTTGGACTTGATGTTAAAAAGTTTCGACAAGCTACGAAAAGTATTGACAGTGGATGGTTCTGAAGGGGAGAAAAAGAAATCTGAAATTTGGCTGTGGCATCGACGTCTGGGGCATGCTTCATTTGGTTCTCTGAAAAAATTATTTCCTAATTTATTTAAAAAATTTGATGGTTCTAGTTTTCGCTGCGATGTTTGTGAACTAGCAAAGAGCCATCGTGTTTCGTTTCCATTATGTTTGAATAAAAGTTCACTTCCTTTTATGGTTATACATTCTGATGTTTGGGATCTGTCCAAAGTCACTACTTTAGGTAGATCACGTTGGTTTGTTACTTTTATTGATGACTATACCAGGATGACCTGGTTGTGCCTGATGAAATCCAAAAGTGAAGTGAACTTATTATTTTAAAAGTTTCATAAAATGGTTGAAACTCATTACAATGCATATGTTTAGGTTTTCCGTAGTGACAATGGTGGAGAATATCAGAGTTTTGACCTTCAACAATATTTGGAATCATATGAAACTATTCATCAAACCACTTGTTCCAATACACCCCAGCAAAACAGGATTGCAGAGCGAAAAAATCGCCACTTGTTGGAGGTTGTTCGTGCTTCATTGATAGAAGCTCATATGCTGTTATCGTATTGGGGAGAAGCATTTACCTCTGCAGCATATCTAATCAATCGAGTACCTTCCAGCTCTATTGACTTCCAGACACCATTACAGGCTCTCACTGACGTAGTTGTTGCTCCAACTGTCCCAAATCTACCTCCTCATGTTTTTGGTTGTGTAGCATTTGTACACCTCCATAAGCATCAACGCAACAAGCTAACTCCTCGAGCATTGCGATATGTTTTTCTCAGATATGCTACGCATAAAAAGGGGTATTGCTGTTATCACCCTCCAACTCGACGAATATTCATCACCATGGATGTTGTTTTCCATGAAGAATCGATGTATTTTTTTTCTGCGTCAGAACTTCAAGGGGTGTACCAGAACGAAATTCAGACTCTAGATTATAATTATCTATATTATGATTATTATACTTTTGCGGATGGTGATTCTAGTGGTGATGACTCACAAGTTAGACTAGGCAATCAAGAATCGGGCGAATTGGATTTGAGTGGTATAAGTTTGGATCAAAGTGGTGATGAACGCCCAGAAATGGAAAGTATGGTGCCAACCCCACTGTCGTCCGAGTTTGAGTCCTCGCAACTGATATATCAAACCAATCGTCTGCTGAGGATGTTCCTAATTTAGTGCCTGAGCCACTCGGAAAATAATTACCATAACATCACACTAGAGGTGTTCCTAAACCCACATATGAACCTGAACTTTCTAGTAAAGTAAAGTATCCCATGAGTCATTATGTGTCGAACCATCGTTTGTCAGAGTCAAATTTGTCATTTGTAAATCAATTATCTACTATATCTATTCCTAACAGTGTGCATGAAGCCTTAGCTGATCCTAGGTAGAAAACAGCTATGAAAGAGGAGATGTAATCCTTACAGAAAAATAAAACTTGGGAACTCATTGATCCTCCACCAGGAAAGAAACCAGTAGGATGTCGATGGATTTATACTGTGAAGTATAAAGCTGATGGCACAGTTGAACACTTTAAAGCAAGATTGGTGGCAAAAGGTTACACCCAAACCTATATAATCGATTACACAGAGACGTTCGCACCTGTAGCCAAAATCAACATAGTTCGGGTCTTGTTCTCTTTAACTGCGAACTTGGATTGACCATTACAACAATTCGATGTGAAAAATGCCTTTCTGCATGGTGAATTATCCGAAGAAGTCTACATAGATCTCCCACTAGGATGCATAATACCCGAAAAATATAGTCGGAAGGTCTGCAGGTTAAAGAAATCATTATATGGGTTGAAATAATCTCCGATAGTATAGTTTGAAAGATTCACAAAGTCGATGATAGCCTTTGGCTACCATCGAAGCAATTCAGACCACACATTATTCCTAAAGAAATAACAGGGTAAGATCACTGCACTCATTTATGTAGATGACATGGTGGTTATGGGGATGATCTTGAAGAAATGAAGGTTCTCAAGAAGTACTTGTCCAGAGAATTCGAAATGAAAGATTTAGGTCCTTTGAGATATTTTCTTGGGATCGAAGTATCTCGATCTAATAAAGGAATCTTTCTATCTCAAAGAAAATATGCCTTAGATCTATTACAAGAGACTGGCTTGACAACATGTTAACCAGCTGAGACACCAATGGAAAAAGGGCTGAAGTTATGTGTTAAGTCCAACAAAGTACCTGCTAATAAAGAAAGATACCAAAGACTTGTAGGGAGATTAATGTATTTAACACACACGAGACCGGATCTGGCTTATGCATTGTGAGCATTATTAGCCAGTTTATGCATGATCCTAGAGAGCAACATATAAATGCTGTTATGCGCTTTTTGAGGTATCTGAAATCTGCTCCTGGAAAAGGAATTTTGTTCACTAAAAATGCTGGTTATTAAAACATAGATGCATATACTAATGCTGACTGGGCTGGAGCTATAGATGATAGGCGATTTACTTCTGGTTACTTCACTTTTATAGGCCGTAATCTTGTTACATAGAGAAGCAAGAAATAAAATGTTGTTGCTCGCTCAAGTGCAGAAGCTGAATTCAGAGGTATGACGCTTGGACTTTGTAAAACTTTGTGGTTAAGACTTCTCTTGCGGGATTTGGGTTATCTACCGGGGCAATCGATTCGACTATATTATGACAATAAAGTAGCATGTGATATTGCCCATAATCCAGTTCAATATGATCGTACGAAGCATATCGAAATAGATAGATTTTTCATTAAGGAGAAGTTGGATGAAAAAATTGTGGAGTTGCCTAAAATTCGATCTGAGGATCAACTAGCCGACATTCTCACCAAAACAATCTCAACTCAAGTGTTTTCAAAATTTTTAGACAAATTGGACATGTGTGACATCCCAACTTGATGGGAAGTGTTGAAATTTTACCTCTTGTAATCCAGGATTATACAGCTGTAGGATTAAATTATTTACTCCTTGATTTAGGGCTAATTGGTAAGTAATTACTTTCCTGATTATTGTATAATTAGTTGCCTATTTTAGTTAGGTATTATTCTATAAATTAAATGTAAAACCACCGTGAATAAGATCGGATGGAGTTTTAATTCTCATATTTTTTCTCTGAAATTCAAGAGAAAGCATTATTATAGGTATGGAATACAACCAAAGGAAACATTTTCCATCCGTGCACGTATATAAATGTGTATATTTATATGTGTGAGATCTAACATTAGTCTACATATACGTAGATAAATGTGTATATTTATATATATATATATGAATAATTGAAGTATATATAGACTAATGCTATACCTCATACGTATAAATATACACATTTATCTACGTGCACGGATGGAAATGGAGCTGAGTGGGAGCATCCACGCCATGAAATTTTTTGTGGGGAATTATTTTTTAATTTATATATTATAGCAAAAAATAATTTCCCAAAAAATAACTATTTTGAAATTGCCCTTTAGGGAGTAGAGGACACATCTAACTATTTTGGAATTGGCCTTTGGGGAGTTGAAGGGATCAAAATGGTGGTTGAATAGTAGTTATATATAGAGTGGACGTGTGCTATCCACTTGGCGTGTTTTGCAAAGGCTAATTCCAAAATAGTTAGATTCGTCGTGTGCGCGCCTCGTCAACGTTGGAGCCGCCTCAACACAAAAATATTTTATTAAGGACTTATAGTACACGGTTCGAAAGTTAGATACAATCCATTATATTTACACGAGCGGTGAATGTCATTATCATAGCGTCATCATTATGATTGATGATGCTAATGTTGCAATGTATAATTTTTTGAATATCGAATTGGTATCTTGAATTTAAAATTAATAAAAATTTAATTAAAGATGTATACTAAAATTCCTTCAATTTAAAGTCCGCCTTCATAAAAAAATAAAAAGTACGAAATTTTAAATGCAATTTGTCGTAACTTTTAACACATATTTTGTGTGACAAGAAATGCTATTATTCTTTTTTAGCTGGTAAAGAGTGAGAATGGGGTGGGTGCTTTGTGATCTGACCCAAAAGGGTAAGTTATTAGGACTCAACCTGAATTCTAACGCCCTCGTTACGGCTCGGGCCACCCTACCTACCCGGGTCTTGTGGGTGATTCGCAATCCGACCTAAAAGATTAAGCTGCTAGGTAAGACTAACACGCAGCCCATATATACACATATACTTCCCTATCCGAATCCAATGTTAGACAATACTCTCCTTGTAATGTTGAGCTTGTACTAGATGGGCTATTGACCATTTGGTTTTTTAAAATTTTTGTTCAATTATGTAAAGATATGTACGAAAGTTTGAGTCTAAATTTTATAATATCTAATTTACCAACGGAATATATAATTTAGTAAGGGTGTAAATGAAGATTCAGTGATTTAGGGCTTAAATGAAAAAATATCTCAAAAAGTAGGCTTATTAGTCATATGTTGTTGTTACTACTCTCCTGAAGGGCTTTTTTAACTCTTGAAAAATGTGAAAACAAAATTTTCAACCATACAGAGAATGAGTTTCAAGCATATTACTTAGTTGTCAACATTGAAAAATAAATTACTCAGAATTTCAGTTTGAGTTCAATAAGAAATGATTTTATTCTCCCAAAAATGGTTAGATACAATTTTGACAATAGATTTTTGATCAACATTTTGTTTAATTTTATACATATGCATGTCATAATTTACAAATACATGGCGTGACTAATTTTTTATTTTGTCCATTTCTATTTATATCCCTAATGAAATTAGTAAGATTTACGTCTATACAGGTGTATAGAGGCGGAGCCAGGGGTGGGTGGGTGGGTCAAGGGGGGCGATGGCCCTTCCAAAAAAATTTAAAATTGTTATAATACCCCCAAAAATAGTTATTTCACAAAAAAAAAAAAAAAAAAAAAAAAAAAACTTAACTTCTTGTACTAAAATTCATTGAAATTTCAAATTCCCCCTCCCCTAATTTTTTTGAAAACATTTATTATTTATATATTGGCCTACAAATTGAGAGTTTAAAAATAAATTTAACTTGTGTCCTTTCAGTTTTCTAGACAAAAAAAATTAATTTAGGACCAGGACCACTCAAACCATACTCTTGAAAGCCCGATCCTTATAAAATAAAATTTTCAGTTTGTTTATTCTTATGGTAGAATATATAATACTCCATTATACCTTTATTTGTTAGTTGTTAAGTGACAAATTGTATGACCACTTGCAGGATAGATCAGACACATATATACACACAGTTGTATACACTTATCCAAGCTGAGAAGAAAGACAGATGGAGAAAGGAAATTGAAGGGTTGGTAACAATCAATTAAGATAAAATTAAGAATCACAACATAAAAGTAAACACACCACATGATAATTTATCTGTAGTTCGGCAATAATTTACATTCAGGATTGAGATCCGATAAAAATTTTCACTACGTATAAAATCGAAAATTACAAGTTTCCAATCCCTCACTCTATTTCTGTACAAATTTAAGAGTTTCTCTATTCCACCACTCTAAACCCTAAGCGCACTTATATATCGAACTACAAAAGACTAATTAGAATTCACGACTCATGAACCAAAAACGAGTCAAATTTTTTTTTTACAAATTGCAACGCGACCCGACACTAAATTTGAACCACACTAAATTTGAACCATAACTGCGACGAACCAAAATCTTGGTGCTTCAAAATGCAAGATCCAAAAAGTAATCCGGTGTGCAGCGTCACAAATCAAATCATTTTCTTTGTTTTAAGTTTCAAAAGAAGGCTCACATAGTCCCTTAGGAAGCACGATTGGATGAATAAGTCAATAAGGTAATTTATTATTATTATTATTATTATTTAAAAAAAAGCCAAAGAATATGATTCGAAAACATTAAAAACAAAAAACGTAACATAATATATTATATATATAAGATAATAAATTTTACTTATTTTATCTCATACAACGGTGAATAAAATTATTAATTTGAAATTAAAGTTAGATGTTTGTTATTTTCATTTTCTTAAATTTTTTATTATTTTTAACTAACTCATAATATATTTTAAATTGCATTAAATTTTATTCTTGTAAAAATAATTACAAAATTATTCTGCCTTATCATGAGAATGTCCAAAATGTATCTTTCTTGTGAAGAAAAAAATATTTAAATATTTAAAATTTTGGACTTGGCTATTCCTAAATAAATGTCCACTTTTTAT